CAGTACCTTGCCTCTGGCCCCAAGTGTCTGCGCCCAGGCCCAGTTTTAGATACTGGCCTGGGCCCCGTGCAGTTAGGCACGTTCGGGCAGCCACCCAACCTCCAACTGTTTTGACTCAGAGAGCTCTCATGGGCGATTTCGCTTAGAGGGCTCTTGCTATACACCCGTTGATTGCTTCTCTATGATTCAGTGGTCCTTCAATCCTTGTTATTCGTTCTCTATCCGCAACCCCCTCCCCCCTCCCCCCTCCCCTTCCCCTTCCCCTTGGTCTCCAAAACTACAGCCGAAATTGTGAAGTACCATAAATAGAAAGAAAAAGTTAAAGAAAAGTGCTCTTGGCTCCAATCAACCAAGCCAGCAGAAAGCAACCTTTTGTTCTACCTTTTTTTTTTTTTTTAGAAACCATTCAAGTTCTACCTATTTTTTGTCATGTATATTCATTTTTATACTATGGTATCTTGTAAGGATTGAATTTAATTCTTTTGCCAATCCGTTCATCCGACCGACATAATTTGGTGAGGTTTTTGGAGACTAAATCAGTCAAAGCACCTGTACTCGAGCAAGGCGTGCCTGTTAACCCACCGTCCTTTCCGGAATGTAGAGGGGGCCTGCCTGCACCCCGTTAAATTCATTTCGTCATGATAAAATAATTATTAAAAAAATGAGATCAGATGCGCAAAGCGAAGCAGACTGCAGAAGGGTCTTCTCAAGTACTGGTGGTCAGCGGGCTCTTTGTCAGTTCTTCGAAGGATGACTGTTGGTTTTTTGTAACTCTCTACATATTGAACTGTATTGAAGTGTATTTACTATTTATTTTCTCTTCATACAACAGCATGCTGTGGGCATACTCAAAACTCCCACTTTTTCAACTTATCTTTCTTGGACACATTTGCGGTCAGATACGTCCACTAATGGCTGTAATTGCAGTCAGGTACATCCAGGAACGCACTGGTGTGATTCGCTCTGATTTCCAGCGACAAACTCGTGCAGGACCGTCGCACCACAATTGCATTCAAGTTTGATGGTCTTCTGCTCCCTTCTGCCACGCAATTATTATTATTATTATTATTATTATTATTTCCCCCCCACAGTGACAGGATTTCCCCCCCTTTTTTTTGAAGTTTTCTTAAACCACATCTACCACATTCTTCAGAGGCCTTTGGTGGCGCCACGGGACCAAAATGGCTGGCACTGCCAGTGCCAGCCAAAACAAAAAAAAAAGTCACACTGGTGCTTCGGCAAAGCTTGGCGTGCAATTCTTTTCCCTCGGCAAAAAGAGGCTTGGAGAGTTGGAGGTAGTGGTGGTAAAAAAAAAAAAGAAAAAAAAAAGGAAACAAATGTGACAGTAAACTTAGTGAAGTGTTGGTTTACGGTGCAGAGAAAACACATCCTCTCTTTCCAGCTCTACCTTTGCATGAATGTATTCCTGCCTCCCACCCCCTGCTCCTCTTTTTTTTTTTCTTTTCAAACAAACATCAAGGAAGGTACCCCCCCCCCCCCACCCCACCCTGCCTTTCCCTTCCCCTTGCCCTTAGACAGAAAAAGGAAAAAAGTACTAAGATAAAAAAGGAAGAAAATTAAAAAAAATCCAACTCCTAATGTCATAGTAGACAATGCTATAAATAGAGCTTTTTCGATTACTGCCTTGATGGAATATTAAAATTCAATGCCTTCCTTTTTTGTTTGGTTGCACCGCAAAACTGTATTTCCGGCGGAATTTTTTGCAAAACTACGTTTCGTATGAGGAAGGCAGAAGCTCGATGTGGATCGCTGGAACACCAAATACGGAATTTAACTCAGGAGAATGACCACATCCAAGGGACACTGGCAAAAGTCAAGCAGGTAAAAAAAAAAAGGACACATTCTACTCTACCCTACTCTCCTCTCCACACCCTTTGTCTATTAAACTCACGTCTACTCTCTCTCCTCGCCTCTCCGCTACTCTATGCCACTCCACTCCTTGTCGTCTCCCACTATTCACATGTCTTCTCCTGTTTACAACAGAATACATATTTCTGCTGCCAGCAGGGAAGGAGGGAAAGAGAGGGAGGTAGGGTAACGGGGGAGAGAGGGCAAGGTTGAGTTGGAAAAGAGGGGACAAAGGGAAGGAGAGGGGATGAGGTGTGGGGTGCATGGAAGCTGTCAGTTAAACCCTCTCTCTCTCTCTCTCTCTCTCTCTCTCTCTCTCTCTCTCTCTCTCTCTCTCTCTCTCTCTCTCTCTCTCTCTCTCTGTGTGTGTGTTCTCTCTCTCTCTCTCT